GGCAGCAGAGCATGGGCTGGGGAAGGGGCTGCCCGAGCTGGGTTTTCCCGCTCTGTTTTCCCGAGGTCAGACTCGGGGGAAGGCTGCGCGGCCACGATGGTCTCCCTTCTCCCTCCGGCACCGGCATTCTCGGCTCACCTTCACAGCGGGGGTAAGGGATGCTCCAGGTCCCGTTGACCGTACAGTACAGCGTTGTTTTTCCCACGAGAGCGTAGCTGGGGTCACAGCTATAATTCACGGACTTGCCAGGGCTGAAGCCTGTCGCATCCCTGCCATCGTGCTGGCCGTGCTCAATCGCCGGCGGGGTGGGACAGAGCCGCCCTGCAGGGAAGGAAACCTTTGCTGAGAACAGGATGGGGGCTGTGAGGTTTCCGTTTTGCTTTTCCTCTTAGCCCCAGAGAACAGAGTCCCTCTAAGTCCGAGCATGCGGAATATTCACTTTCCTGCCCTCCTTTCCTCCCCTAACCCCTCTGGCTCACCGGCCTATCCCCAAATGAAAAAGGCAGGGGAACGCACCTTCGCAGCGCGGGGCAGGGAGGCTCCAAGCTCCAGACGAAGTGCAATTAAGCTGTGCCTCTCCCACAAGGACGTAGCCAGGGTCGCAGGCGTAGCTCACGGACGCGCCGCTGGGGAAAACGGCCGTGGCTGGGCCGCTGTGCTTTCCGTTGGCAATGGCTGGGGGGCGAGAGCACTGCGACGCTGGGGGAAGAGGGCAAAGCCACATTCAGTTCAGCAGCGAGGAGGAGGGGGGCGATGGCAAAAGGAGGGAGCTGGTGCAGAGGAGCAGGGGCTGTCCGGGGAGGTGTCTCTTGGGTGCTGCTCCTTGCCCGAGCCCACCCAGAGGCTCCAGCCCTCCGGACCACTAAGGAGGTGTTTCTGCGCGCTCATCCCGGCGAGTGCTGAAGGGCTCTGGGCGAGCACGGCAACGGGGGTACGGACACGACCGCATGCCGGCCCCACACCCTCCCCGTCCCCTCCTGGCCCGTGAACAGCCACTGCTCCACAGCAGGACCCTGGGTGCCCTGCCTGCCCTGGGTGCCCCCAGCCTC